ATGGGAGGGCTCCGGAGCAGAAATGGAAGGGCTCCGGAGCACGAGTGGCAGACACCCCGCTGGAGAAACCCCGCGGCCTGTCATTTCTCCGCCGGAGGGGTCCTAACCATTGTCTGAGTGCTATATAGTGCATCCCCTCAACAATACATAAAAGATTTAATCTAAGATTCTTCAATTGTACACCATTTGCAATGTTTACATATGTGCTCGTTATTGATGTATACATAAGAAACTTCTGTCTCCTCATAGCGTTCGTAAGGAATCAGGTAAGGCCTGATTGGGTGGGTAATACAGATGAGTAATTAGTAAACTTGTAAGAAAAACTTTTTGGCTAATTTATGGCGCAGTTGAACTGTTTTCGCAAGATACACAGGCCACAAGTCTCTATTTGATTCTTCGAACCAAAAAGTTACACGTACTCTCAAGCTGCTCTCCCTGCCACAATTCTCTTTACTTTCCACCGCTCACTTTTTGTATGTTCATAGCAATAGCTTACTTGAACATTATCTCCTGAGTTTATAATGAAATATTTGTATTGAATCTTCTCTCATTTACTCTTTAGCCATTCTTCTCACCAAAATATCTACTATTCCTTCTGGAAATCACAATTCAGAAAGTTGCTCTTAGGCCCGTATGCACATACATCCCCGCTGGGGAGGGGAGGAGACTTGAGAGGGGATGCGTCATATCTTGCTACTCTACGTATTTTCTTCTTCTTTCTCTAGCTTGCTTATAACGTTACACTTATACACTTACACTTATACCTGTGCATAATGGATGCCAGGTTTTTTTTCATGCAAGATTGGTTTTTTTGCCATTTTGTGTGATCCCCAGGGGATGCCCTGGGGAGCCCCAGAGGATCATCTCTCTTTTTCAGAGTCATTCGTCTTCCTAAAATCTCAGAGACGCTGTAAAATTGTACTGAGGATGTACTACGGCACTGCTGAGTATCTTTTCAACAGGAGAAATGGAATCTGAAGATTGTGAATTTTTCGATGATTCCTAGCTCGCAAGCTAGGGATTACCGAAGATTTCGGTATCCTCAGATTTCACTTATTCCTGCCATAAACATCTTTAGAGAGCTTCCAGACCGCGCCGGTTGCCGCTATAGCAGCCGAAGCGCAGTAGGTCAAGCCAATGTCTCACTGGCGCGCATGTGGCGCGAAAACTCACTGATCAACCTATTTTTTGTATTTTTTTACATCTGGTTGTTGACATGTTTATGGACTGGTTTCCAGGTACGAGTTTTTGGACAATGGTTGCTTGAAGGCTTGAAACATCACCGTTGAGCACAAATGCGCTACGTATTGCCTACGTTCAGCTGGAGTTCACAGAGCGGACTGCTCATTGCGTTTCTTTTTCAAACTTTGTTTTGCTCAAGCTACATGCTTTTGTGACTAATGCGGTTGAAAAGCTAGGTGCGATAATGAAGCGCATTTGTGCAAATCCATGATGATGCACGGAGTAGCATGGAGATACCACATCACCCACATCAAATATGAGACCTGAACTTACCATGAAAACAAAAAGGTAAGTAGCAAGTAACACATGGAGTAATCAGCATATTTACGCTCATATTTTATACATGTTGTAAGTGCTGCGGTTTTCCATGCTTGCGTCCATGCCTCATTATGGATTTGCAATGCTCTTCAGTATTGCACGCATATTTTCAAACTGCATCGTTCACAAAAAACACAAAAATTGAGCTCAACAAAAAGTGGAAAAAAGGAATGAACGAGTCACTTCGTAAACTCCAGCACAATGTAGGCGATACTCAGCGCATATGCCTTCAACTGATGTTACAGTGTTCGAGCAACCATTATTCAGAAACTCGTACCTGGAAACCAGCCTATAACAGAAAAATTAATAAACAGATAGAAAAAAAAACAGAAAAATAGGTTGATTTCATGAGTTTTCGCGCTACACGCGCGACAGGGAAACAATGACTTGACCCACAGCGCTTCGGCTGCAATAGCGGCAACCGGCGCGAAAGCGGCTAACGGCTGCAAAAGCGGCAACCGGCGCGTCTGGAAGCTCCCTTAGCAGTGCCGTAGTATATCCTCAGTGCAGCGTCTTTTACAGCGTCTCATTGAGATTTTAGGAAGACAAATGGCTTTGAAAAAAAGAGGTGATCCTCTGTGATCACACAGAATGGCAAAAAACCAATCTTGGAAAAAAAAACCTGGCATCAATCATGCGCAGGTATTAGGCTTTGAGAACCTTCATAAGCAGGATAGAGAAGGAAGAAGAAAGATACCTAAAGTAGCGAGATATGACGCATCCCCTCTCAGATCCCCTCCTCTCCCCAGAGGGGATGCACGTGCATACGGGCCTTAGTTCCCCTCAAGTAATTTTGTGAGTTCCCAACGAAATCACCACGAAGTTGAGTAAATCACTCAACCCTTTCAATAAATCTTCTAGTTAAAGCCGTGGCTTTATTCAAGCTTCTAAAATAATCAACACGGACTCAACTTTCGATCTCAAAGACTTTTCTACTTTCGCAGCCCACATGGAATCTGATTCTCAAAAACTTATCTGAAAAGCATAAATAAATTTGACACAATTCATTTTACACATTGTGAATTCTCATCTTTTTTGCAAACTTGTTTTTAGTCCCTAGCATATTTGTTACCACTATTTGGAAAACAGTACGGTTCTACATTAACTAACAAATGCAGAATATTTCTGAAGAATCATGTTGCAGAAAGAGTACTTCCGCAGTTTTCTAGGCAGTGCTCAAATTTGCTCATTTTCTTGGAAGGTATTATTGTGGAGCTGGCTAGTCGTAGCAAAAAGAAATTGGAATTTCGCTTAGTACTGTAAATCTAAGTTTATCCTCGCTCTACAGAATGGTACCTCAAGCTCGGCAAAAGACATGAAAGCAAGAGAGTTATTAACGATCAAACATTGTGCACATCTTTTTGGGACATTCTGTATATGTAGGTACAAATCCTTTTATCTTTCTCAGTTCCGATCGTATTTCCCTTGATATTGTGTTCCCATCGTATTTCCTTCGGGCGGCCAAATTTCGCCAAAAAATCCTCCACAAATTTTTTAGAGAAACCATTAGCAGAAATGGAAGTCAGATTCGGAATAAGCGTTCGAAGACGAGTGTAATGGTATACTTTTCATCTCAAGGCCACGGACACTAAGTATCGTTTCCTTGTAAGACGAATGCAGCTTGTTATTCGCCATCCTCGTGCCCGGTCCTGATATCTAAACTCAATATAAAGTCATTTGGTGCGCAAATAAAAGTTTGGAAATTCAAGACTAAATTTTTGCGTATCCGCTTCTGTATATGACGTATTTTTATCTTGCCAATAGATCTTGGATTACGCTGTTATTTTGACCTTTTCAAAATTGTTCGGGGAAGATCTGATCACAAATCTATACAACCAATGCAGACATGACTTTCAATTTTATTGTCTACGAAGTTGTATTTGGACCGTATGTTGGCAGAAAGAGGATGGCAAACTGTTTGGATTTTTCTATTGGAAGCAGTTCTCCTTTGATCACTTGGTAAGTAAGCTTACGAAGTTTGCCAACGATTTTGCTGGTGGTACTGCTACTGCTACTGCTACTCAAAACCATTTTAGCAAGAACAATGGTGGTAAATGTGAAGAGATATGAAGAGAATAAGGCTTCACAAAATTCGCAGCGCCTTCGAGGAAATGCATTCGGTCATAATCTTTCCGCTCAGATTCTTTACGAAGGATCTTGCCTAATCTAATTCAGAAGATGAAGTTAGAGGAAGGAGAGCCTCTTCAAAAAAATTCAGGGCAAAGACTTTAGCGTAGCAGACTCTAGATTCTCTTAACGTCTTTTTTTTTCAAGCCCTATTGCCTAATTCTGAGGTGGTGTTCGAGCGAAAATCTCCAATGCGAGTCTTCAAAAGCGGAAGTCATTCACATTAGCTGTGTCTTTCCGTGATATCCTCCAAAAAATTATGTCATGAAATTTCAATGCGATCAGAGTTTTTCAGGATTTTCCATTAATATAAGGTTATGCGGAGAAACGCCTTGATTTCTCCAATATTATGTTTGTTTGAGAGCTATAAGTGTTTACAATAACATCTTAGCGGTAGCACCTCCATACCCATTTCTTTGGTTTCGTCTTCTCTTAGCAATGGTGAAAGCTGCCAGTCTGTAATGTGTTAGTTGAGGCCAAATTAGAACAGCCTTCTTCCATTTTGTTTGAGCTGTAAATAGGGTTCCAAAGAAAGCTTAAGATATTTTTATTTAGAAAAAGGAGACATACAAAGCAGCCTTTATTATAACCTGTTTCTTGGTATTTCTACAACAACTTTTTGTCATGCGTTGACTGAGTTTTGGGCTAGAAAAATTTTGCCATTCTTATTTCTTTTTACGTTTGATAAAAACGTGATCCAAATTCGTAAGTCCAATGATTTTCTGAGAAACTCACAATGAGAATCCTATATATCCGAGACTCCGCTACAAAAACACCTAGATCTCTCAATTATCATGCGTAATTTCACGAATACCTAGAAAACCATGACTCTCAAAACTTTGCGAGAACTGTTTTCAATTAAAAATGAAGGCAGGAAGTCGTGTCTAGAGACTGAGTCTCAAGGGCGCTTGATTACAACGAATACTTCCATAAAACAGTCTCTCAATAAACACCATCAAGGTTTTTTGCAGCCCGCTTCCGTGCAATATAAATCAACCTCGATGTGACGTTGTTCAAAAAAAGTAGAGAGTGATATGGAAAAGCAGACAAAATATTAAATTCAATATAAGACTGACAGTGCATCCTTGCTTGCATTTATTTTCATTTGCAATAACAGCATCACAATACTTTCCTTACCAAGCTAGCTTTTCTGTTTTTTATTAGCGCAGATCATACATTCACAGAACTTTGTTATAAAAACGTAGCACGACGTATCAAGGAGAAGAACTTGTAAGGGGACACAGATGGTCTGTTGAGCAGAGTGAGAACGAAGTAGAAGAAACAGAGCGAGACGAGGGGGTGGCGGACTGGACTTATGGTCCAGTCGATTCTTAACAAATTCCTGACTAGAAGGAGTTACTTGACACTTACTGAACGATTAAGGAGGACCGATAGATGTGGCGAAAGACGCCTTCGGGGTTTTAGCGGACCAAGCGGACACTAGGGGGAAGACGGGGGCGAGGCCCGCGGGGCCGTCGGCGTCCTCCCTCGAGCTGACCGCGTGACGGCACTGCACGATTCGTGATGAACTAGGAACTCAAGAGCAGCTTCGCTTTTATACAAGGAACATTGTCATATCATAACATCAATGAAATTCTTAATCTGAGTCGGGGAATGGACCAGCCAGAACCTTCTTGATGAAATCTGAAAGAAATGGTAGTTTTGTCGGAAATGAGTCCCTGATTCTTATAAAATGTTCAGGCAAAATGTCCTTTTCTCAGAAAGTTCCCCCAGTGCCAGAGTGTACGTGCTGTAACACAGCGCCAGCGCATAACTGACGCCACATGGGCAACAACTGTTTGCAAAGAAAAAACACTAGATGCTAGAACGTTTTCGCCAGTGAGAAAGGAATTTCTGTCTGAACCAACAAACAACAAAAAGTCGGCAGGAAAACATACCCTCGTATTTGACCAAACCTTCGGCGTCTTCAACTCCCTTCAGAATTTCGTCTACCTGCAATGAAACTGTTGAGTCAACATGTTGATAAACATGTGATCTGAAAATTGAGAAAAATTCTCACCTCATCAGCAGTGAGTCGCTCTCCTAGGGCGAGTAGGATATGTCTAAGCTCAGCGGCTAGGATTTTTCCGCACTCTTCCTTATCGAACACTTTTAGCCCTTCTACGAAATCAGCATACGTTCCTTGCTCCTGAATTGTTTCAGTCAATCACATGAAGAGGAGTCTGCATGACAATATGACACTGTTTAGCGAAGCGCAAGAACTCTTCGAAAAATAAAATCACTCAGTCAGGAAAGCAAACAGTCGGGTACAGCGTGCATGATTCAGAACTGTAGAGGTTCAATACATTCGCAATCTCTGCACTTCTAAAGAACAAGATGACAGTGAGTCAAATTTGAGGAGTACTTTACGGAAATTAGTCAGAATCTTAGCACGACTTGAAATCCGGAAAATGTCAATAGAATGTCTTTTTAAAATTAACAAACCACCAATTTAAGTTTTTTGTGCCCGGCGTTAGGATTATGTGAATAAATCTTAGAATAAAACTATGGAAAAAACATCTGCAGTAGCTTGAATAAGAAAAATTACCAACTTTCATAAAAAATGGTGGGATAACGTTGGATTTGAAATCACATATATCCCTAGCGCCCTTAATGTCAAATTTCAAAACTACAGTATGCCCATATTGTTCATTCATTTACCCAGTTGCGCGCAGAAATAATAATTTCTGAATTTTCCTTTCTCTCTGCTGTAAGACTTCAGACTGGTGGCCGTAGATTCACTATTTTTGCAATTATTTTTTTTGTTGTTTTTGTTTTTTTCAGAGAATTTATGGGGATGAGGGAAGTTCCAGCGCAAACGGTAATAGTATTGCGATTAATTGCCAGCTATTGTTATGCTCCTGGCTCACTCACACAACAATCTTTGTTCATTTATTTAGTACATCGAGTGCACCAAAAAAGGAAAAAAACTATTTCAAAGAGTTCAATCACCAGTCACGACCCTCAACTCCACTAAAGTTCGATCAATGCTAGGTTGAGATCTGGCAGAAGCCGAGCTGCCTTACAACGCGCGCACAAACGAGCTCTCGTCAGAGTGACAGCCCTCCACAGGCACTCAAAGCAAGGCAGCGAGAAGGATAAAATCAACAAAATGTCAAAGTTGCAATCGTCAATCAACGAACTCTTATTTGCGTTATAATCTGATAATCGATTGCATGAATTCTTGAATTCATTAGCGCAGTAAAAGTTTGCAACGCTTCAGTACTTTAAGCAAAGTCAAACATCGGAAGGCTTGAGATTTGTTTGCTATACCGAGAAGCGAGGATAAGTGTGCGATCGAGGATTTCCGAGAAATCGGAGAGAAGCGCGGCGGAGCAGGAGAGCGCAAGAGGAGAGCCAGCAAAACCAGCTCGAGCATGACGACTTTACATCGGCAGCGGCCAGAATTTGCCGGATCAACGGAAAAAGTGCGTTCTAATGGAAGCAGAAAAGCATGGGCTTATATGATAAAGATTTAAAAAGCTAAGATACAATAGACTTGCCTTTTCTTTCGACAGCTGCTCGAAAATTGGTAGCCATTCCTCGAACGTGATGCGCTTCTCACCCTTACGCTTGTACTCTTGTCCAGAGGCCTAAAAACCGTGGAAGCTGATTGGAGAAAAAGTGCTTGAAAAGATAACTTCAAGATGCACAAATCAGATGAAAACGAATTAAATCAATTTCTAGACTAACCTTAGTAACCATAGCATTGGTTGGTTTCAGGCCAGCAGCTCGGACGACGTCTCCGATCTGCGTTCCGTCGATCTTTCCATCGAGCTCCTCGTCGTACAGGTTAAAGATCTCCTTCAGTTGATCTAAATCATTCTTTCATGACCATACAAAGAGGTTACGGTACCGCAACGGTAATTAAACGGTACAGAAACGAGTACCTTGAGACGGCATGTTGTAGGGTGTGTTGGAAGGTGCTACGAGACGATGCGACTAGAGTCCCACTCCGCTAGCGGCTGTGTACAGCGAGAAAGCTCTCCGCTGGCGCTACGCCCCGAAGCGTCTATTTTTATTCGAGAGGAGGTGCCAGTGTGGATGTAATGCCTTGGAGAGATCGCGCCGATCCGCGATACGCAGATCCACCGATTGCCGAGAGTTCGCGCAGTCGCGGAGGTGGCCGAACGCGCCGATAGGGGGCGGATACGGTAGAGCCAGAGCGTAGCCCGACGAGGAGGTGGAAGATATTTGCCGTGCCCTCGAACTGAGTACCGATGTAACATTTGCGCATGCCAAGGGCCTGGATCTACCCTCATGCTGATTGAGTTGGACTTGCTCGACCCGTCCGAATCAGCTCCCGTGTTGTGGGTCTTCAGCGGGGATATCTTGAGTAACTGAGGACTTCAACAAATCGAAAACCCACGAAAGAAACTCAGATTAAATTCAACTGAATTTACTGTAGTGATCTCGTGAATTTCATAAGAATGGCAAAACACTTTGATAAATAAGTCTTGAATAAAAATCTTCAGCGATTCATTACTTCATTTGCTTCCAACAAAATGAAGGCTTCACACGTCTGAAAATCATGTACATTTTGGCGAAGGACAAGAGAAATCACTAGCGAAGCCATACAATTTGCTAAAGGAAATTTGATAAATGTTCTCACTTTTGATCGCAAAAATTATCAAAGCGCCAGAAAAAGCAATTTGTTTGGCTTCGGTTTCATGAGTGACTTTTCTAGGCGAAAATAGTGTGCTTTTTGGTTTTCTAAGGTTTCTGTTTCTGTAAAAGAAGTTATATTGATTTTATTTTCCTTTCATAGTTGCTTCATATTCTGTCATTCTGTCGCTTGCAAAATTAATAATCCATCAAAAAAATTTTTCGATAGAGAGTGAAATGGAATTTTTGACAAGAGTGCGTAATTTTCGAGTGCAAGACTTACGACTTATATTCTCACGCAATTTTCATCGAGTCTATTGGGGCTTCTGCTAATCTCTTGAACTGTTCGTAAAAAGCAATCACGCTTATTTTAGAAATTTCCAATTTGGCAAGAGGAAATAACAGGGCTCGGCACGAGCTGGCACCAGGGAATTTTGAAAACGAAGTCCCCTTTGAAATTTGCCAATTTTTACGAAGTCCCCCTTGACTTTTGGGAAATTTTACGAAGTCCCCTTTGATCCTCAACGATATCCCCTCTAAAATCCTAAAAAAATCCCCCAAAAAACGAAACGTCGACTAAAAAAAAAAAAAAAGGTCGTCGCCACCAATTTTGCGTATGTCTTCGCCCACAAAAACGAAACCCCCTTTGCTTTTTGCCCCAAAAACGATATCCAGCTTGCCCCGTGCCAGCTGGTGCCAGGCCCTGGGAAATAAGTGGATGATTTTTGTTCTCCAACAGTTATGTAAAGATTCTCATGTGGTGAGATTTGACATATAAACATCCTTGCGAAGGATATGTCAATCTTCAGGGATGGATATTGTCGTCCTAGGTAGCATGGATAAGCGTTGTCCTTTCTACCATCGTCGTACAAGAGTACAATAATCTTCAATAATTGTCAGTCTCGAAGGAAATTGCAATTACTAAAGCTCAATCTTTGACCCTGGCAACATTTCCGTCACAACGATCGGCTCAGCTAACAGGTTATTTGCAAAGGTTGAAAGGGATAACCACCGGGATCGCTGTTGAGAGCCTCGACTCAAGCTTTTGAATGCGAGATGCGCTTTCAAAATGTTATCCCACTGATTACCGTAAAATATTATCTTATTAGATTTTTGCGTAATTCTTGCACAAATTTTTGAGACTCCGTAATTGTTTTCAAACTCTAACTTATTTTGTCTTGAGATGTAATAAAAAAAGAAAATCCTGCGCTTTTTAGATGTGCTTAAAGAGACCTTCATTGGCATGAGACAAACGGTACAAGTTGAGTTAACGAGGCCAACCAAAAATGGCTCATGAATTTTGTTTGGCAAATCTGCTACACATGTGATGAAATCTGTGATCCTGGTTTTGAAACTCACAATTTCTACATAAAAGACTTGCGGTAAAGGGTTTTCTCCAGTATAGTTATGATTATCGGTTCCTTTAGTCAACTTTCCCATTTTTGAATTAAAATCTTTTTAGAATGTAAAGAAGAATCCTACAAGATATATGTACTCAGCAAAAAGCAGATTGTATGAATTATTAATTGGTGTCTTTTTGAAACGAGCTTTCCTCCTTGGGTGCAGGAATCACGCACAATCTATGACTTACATGGAGAGAGCAAGACATTCTTTGAAGAATCAGCTTATAACACATTTTTTGCTTGCGCTTCAACCACATAGCGTTATCGAGGTTCTGACTTTGAGCTTAAACAGCCTGACATGAGTTCTAGCTTTTTTCGCAGTCTCGTATACGTATGCATCCAGCTGTCGCTACAAAAACCTCAAACAGAAGTATGATTCTTAGGATAAGAATGTGGGGTGACTGTTAATCTTCCGCATATCATTCCACCTTTCTCACATTGAAAAAGTAAAAGTTGTGAAAATGAATGAGTGAGTATCAGAGAAAATTTTCTTCTCGTAAATCTCTATTTACGAATCTAGACTGAAAACTTGTTATTTAGACTCATTTAATACTTATTGTGAAAGTTGAAATCATCCAATTATATTTTCAAATGATCTTTTTGAAGCTTCTAAGCAGATACAGCATAAGGAGAAGAAGGACCGAAGCGGTAGTAGAATCTTTTTTAGAGGATGAAATGGAGATCTTGTAGATGAATGCTCTTAGCGATCCCATACAATAACATGGATATTGTTCAACTGAAAATCTTCCACAAAACTACTTTGTTTTTGTCAAATAAAACAATCATCTTGAGGGTTATAAGATATAGCCAGACTTTTTCTATATATGTGATCGATTGTGATCGCTCTCAGACAACAGAGAACGTACTAAGCATGTTACTTCATGAGTTCTGTGATGCACAATTCTATACAAAGAGCATCATTTCAGTGAACTTGCAGCTCTGTCTCCAAGCAGCGTTCACGAAAAAATTGATGCGCGTTTGATTGTATCATGACTTATAGTAACGGCCTAAGGGTGTTTATGTGTTCTTGTGTGTCTGTCTGCCTGTAACGAAATTCACAGAACGAGTCGCAGACAAGGTATCGTTCGTTCGCTCTCACTAGAGTGGGCGGACCACTGCAGACATGACATGACATGTAATCGGTCGATAAACCTCCATCCTAGAGCATTGTTTTTTGTACTCTCTCGCCATCCAAAGCCGCCGCGCGTGTACGTAGACAGTGCTCCGCCCACTCTAGCGAAAGCGAGCAAACGATATCAAGCCGCAATTTTTTGCACAACACACACTGCAACACCTAGATTCACCATGCAAAAGCGCGAGCGGATTCATTGAGTAGTCTCAAAAAGTGCATCCCAAGTGGATTTACTCAACTTCTGACGCGCAAAATTGGATCCGTATCACCGCTTTTTCCAGAGTTGTGGTCATGTTTGGCGAGCTAATGTGCAAGTCATGAAGATTATCCCAAAAAGTGACCAAAAGTCTATCACTCTACGAAAACGACGCCAAAACAAATTGGTTGTGTGAATAGCGGATTTGCCATGGTTTTACATGATTGTTTTAGGAAATTTTTGCACAGGGATGTAGGTCACGATGGATATTATCTTTATGGCGACTACAAGCCATGAAAAAATTCAAAAGTGTTCTAAATTATATTTATTCTCCATCTTCCAAAGTTTCGTACACACAACATACCGATCTTTTAGAAAAAGCTTTCGGAATGAATAGTTGTTTACGTTTATTCGTGAAGGCAGGCATTGCGCGGTAAGTTTCAATGTCATGATATGCGAGACTGAGTGAGGCATATAGATAGAGAAAGCCAGTGCGAGACTCTGCGAAGCAGAGGTGACGCACTGGTCTATATATATATAAAACTCAAGCACTGTACCTTTGTTTGTTAGGATAAACTAGTAATAAATTGAAATGATATATTTCTATAGTGTAGTGCTAGTTAAAATGCAAATGCTAGCTGATGTTTGCGTCTTATAGATTCCTTTGTATGTGAACCGAGGAGGCTGAATTTTGTTCCCTATTGAGACACGGCGCAAAAGATAGGCTGCTTTTCGCTACTTTTCACTGAGTCCTTTCATCGATTTATAGATTTATTTACTAACATCTAGGAAAATGAAAGCATATCATTCATTTCTCCAAGTTAAGTAGTAAGGGTGGTAGTGATCAATCATTTACATTTGCGGTGAGGAGGATGCGGTGTGTCGGTCAAGAAGGAAGGCAATTGCACCGTAAAGCGCTGCAATTGACCTAAAGCTGAAGCAGGAGAAGAAGAAAAAATTTGAATTGAAGGAAATGGAGGAATGGTAAGCAGTAAGACAATTTGGAACAGGCATTATGCCGGGCCATTTTGGACCGTCGTCCCGGGCGGAACCGTTAATCGCAGCTAGTGGAACAAAAAATCTTGAGTTCCAAGTAAGCAGCACAAGGACTAAGGCATACTTCCCGCGATTCCGTCAAATCGCTGCATCCATGCTACTTGGCGATTGCCAAATGTCTACAGATTAGCCTGCGCAGCTCTCAAATGCATGGGCGCGTAGCTTTTGTAAGTAGTCGCAAACACATCAAGTCCGGCTTAAGCAAAGTGTTACAACCCATAATGAAGAGTCGTTGTAATGCCAGAAGGCGTAGTGTGGTACGTGTGAAGTATGCTTTACCCCTAAAACCACCTGTAAAACTACGCCACCATTGCTCCATGTTAACAGCGGCCTATTGCTAATGTTTACAAGAAACCACGGAATTGTTCTGATAACGGTTTATGAGAATTTAGTTACACTGAAAAGTGCTAAAATATTACTGCTCAACAAATTAACGAGATAATAGAAAAGCCGCCATGTCGTAATTATGGGAAAGAGAATTTCAGCCTCACAAGTTCACTCAGAATGAATTCGTTAGAAATTTTCGTGCTAATGAAGCAATGGAAGAAAACAAACAATTGTTATGGTGGCAAGTTTATTTGAGCCTGACGTTTCACCGGCTTCGTCGTCCTCATAGTCCAAAAGCACAAAACTTATCAGTTGCAGAGTGGGGTGCATCAGCCGCTCCGCTCCCGTGCGGCCGCTTCGCCTGGACTTTGCACCTCTTTGGCAAACGTGCTTTCTCATCATTTTCTCTTTACAAGTGTGGGAAAGGCGGAGCTTCAATCGCTAATTAGGCATGCGAAAATGATTAGAGAGCATGCTCGCGGAAGAGGTGCAGAGTCCAGGCGAGGCGACCACGCAGGAGCGGAGATTCCGGTGCACTCGACTCTGCAAATGATAAGCCCTGTGTTTTATTGAAAGTAAGCTGGGGAGTGGCACAATCCCAGAAAAGGTGTGGC